ACTTTATAACTATTACCAGATTGCACAATATAGATAGAAACCAACCGAACTCAAAATTTTCAACCACGAATTATAAAGAAATAATAAAAAAAATTATTAACATATTAAAAAATAAATTGAATATAGATAACAAATTATTTTGATTGTTTAAGATAATTCAGTTAACCGAGCCGAATAAAACAATTGATTTATATATCAATAAATTGCACTTTATACAACAATATGTTGCACCGTATAACACAACACGTCGCACGTATAAAAAATACAGCAATTCTAATTATCGATAAAATAATATTAGTTGGTTAATGTTAGAATTAGTTTTTTTTTTTTTCTTAAATAAACAAAAATAAACGCACATGCCAAACTATACGAACAAATATTACTGATTATTTGTCTATTTATTTATTTATGTTTTTTTATTATAATTAATACTATTTTTTATTTATATTTTTTTATATATTGCGAGTGCATAGTAGAGTTATACAGATTGCACATATTTGTCTGACACATTGCACAAAAACGAACGATATCTTTTATATTTTTTTGTTTTATTATTATTATTATTATTACTATTTTTATTATTACTATTATTATTATAAATAAATAAAATAACCAAACATGCCAAACTATCAATTATGTTAGTATTTTAAAATAATCAAAATAAGCAATCATACTAACTATATAAAAATTATTTTTGCATATATATCTTTATATAAAAAATATTATTTACTTCTAATCGGGAAAAAATAATAAATATTAAATAGAAATATTAAAAATTACTAAATATATTTGTTTATATTATAAGTGTTAAGTTATTTGTATTATTTATGGTATTCACGTATCGGATACACCAATTATTTAAATTCGATTTTGGTATTGGTTAGAACAAATTATTAAAAAAAAAATCTGCAATTTAAGTGCACTAGAGTGTTAGACAAATTGCACCTCAGTAATTATCGAATTGCACCTACTTGATTTAACTAAATTTTTTATGTTGAAATGTTAACTTTCGGTTTGATAATTCATTTCTTACTTCTAAAATCACGGATATTTCAGTTCAATGTTGGTATTATTTTTTCAAATAACTAAAAAATGGTTAGTTGAACTACATATAAAAATGTTAATATTATTTTTTATTTTGTTATTATTGCACATCAATGACTATCAAATTACACTAGCCGTCAAAACTGACCGAACTATAATTTTCGGTTCGATTATATTTTATTTACTTTTAAAATATTGGTGTATTTATCAATATTTTTACACTTTATTTGTTATTATTGTGTAGTTATTATATTTTTCATAAATTATAGATTTGACACATCTACTAAATTGAAATTTAACAAAAAACCTTACAATTGCAATCAAGTCCC